CCAGGCCCAGGCTCGTCCCGGTGGAGGCGACGGTTTGGGTGCCTGTTCCTTCTCGCTGCTCCTCAGCTGGGCCACCTGCCACGTCTTTCCCCCGTCCAGCGAAACATCTACACGTACCACCTCTCTGCCCCCGCCACTCCAGGCGTAACCCTTCACCGTCACCTCTTCACCGCTACGATTGACCACGGCGCCGTCTGCCGGTGTGGTGATCGCTGACTGAATGGGCAGCTCTTGGATGGCCGGAGCAGACTTGAAGTCCACCGTGTCCCAGTCCGTCCCAGGAGAGAAGCCCTTGTAGTCGTTCTGCTGCCAGTGGCTGTTGCTCTCCTCCGCGCTCACTATGATCTTCCCCAGCCATTTCACATTGCGTGCGCCCACTGTTCCTGGGACCACAACGCGGACAGGGTAGCCGTGGTCGGCAGGGAGATCCTCGCCGTTCATTTCGTAAGCCAGCAGCACATCACCTTCCTCATTAACGGCCTTGTTTAGAGGGATGGAAGAACCGTAGGTAGTCCCGGTCACGTCTTTGTCCAATCCTTCAAACTGAACGTGACATGCCCACTTGGCCACATCTGGCCCGTAACCAGCAGCCAGCAGCACATCCCTGAGCCTCGCGCCGCTCCACGTGGCGTTACTGATCGCAGCGATGCCCCAGTTCAGCCCTTTCACCTGCTTGACCTGATTCATCTCAGAGCGGCGGTTACCGGCACACTGCAACGTGGCAGTGATGGTGTGTTTGGGGAATCGAGTCTTCAACTCTTCTAAAGACAGCGTCAGCACTCCTCCAGGTAGTCCCTCCACGTGCAGCCGATAGGAAGCCGGGTCCACCTGAGGAACCGGCAGGTGGTTTCTTTTGAAGAAGATGGCAGACGGGGTGATGTAGCTGTCGGTGAGGAGTTCAGGAGGCGGCTCGGCATTAAAGGGCTTTTGGCTGTTGATGCGCAGGACAGGGTGACGCTTAGGGTCAGAAGAGTAGGGGTCAGATGATTTAACAGTCTGCTGCTTCTTCAGGTCTTCAGCACTCAGTACGCCAACCTTGTATCAACCACAGACACAAAGGTTTTATTAGACTGCATGGGACTAACTCAATGCCACGAACTATCACATATATTATTATATACGCAAAGGCAAAAAAAGGACAAAGAACTGTGTTTGTTTAGAGTAAACACCATCAGAAAAAAACGTCAGCAAAACATTCTTCTCAATGACCGCTTGAGGGAGTGCCAGTATTTAGCCTACAGCAGTTTTTCCATTAGTATGCAGTAGACCTGATCAAGTGCAGGACCGACAAAATGAATCACAAGTTCATGTTTCCATTTCTGTTTCTGACACACCAGACAGTTTTAATGGTTTTAAACAGCCACAGTACACGTAACATAACATGTACTGTGACTGAATTACACTGCAACCAAGTTAATGCACTTAAAAGAAATTACGGTTTATTGTGACTTAGCTTTTACTTTTGTAGCTTCAGCTTCAGGTTTGATCAGTTATGTTAAACCTCTACTCACCAACGCAGTTACTGAGATCTCTGATCATAGCGACATTGCTTAAATGAAGTTCAACGCGGCAATAAATGAGCAGCGCGGGTACAGCAGGTCAAAGCTGAACCAGAACCTCTGACAGGCTGGGCTATCATTTAACAGTCCGCCTTTTTCTTTCTCTTCAAAATAAGTTTGGAGGTTTTGTACTCTATTATTCCTGTTGTTTGTTCCAGCCAGAGGTGTAACTCTAATGTGTACACAAAGGATTACAAACATTGGCTACAGTGTTTGACGCTCGCTGCCAATTCTTAGATTTGTGTTTAACGCTGTTTGATAGAACTTGTTCCACCCAGAGAAAATCTGCTGAAAACCCTTTTTCCCCCCGAGGTACTCCACTGTTAATATTCCACTTACAGTTCACTGGTTTATAGTAAATCTTGTTTTTCTGTGTCAGTACAAGACACGAGGAACAAAAATGTACCTATTAAGTACTTTTATTTTTTTACAGCTTTACAGCCAGCCACAAACCTTATATTCTGAGAGGATTTCCAGCACATGTTCCTGGTTGTGTACAGCATACAGCGCCCAGAACGGTTCGAGGTCTCCACCTGCCGCCAACAAGATTTTATCCCCACCAGGGTGCATGGCCACAAAGTCAGTGATGTCATAGACGGCACCTTTGTAAGTGACCCAAACGCCATCTTCCAGAGAACGGTGACTGGTGACCTCTTCCTGGGTGAAGACGGGAAGAGCTGAGGTCTTCTCTATGGTCTGCACTTTAATGGTGTCTGCCTGCTCAGCCTGCACCAGAGAGAAGAGAGTAAACATCAGTCATCAAAAGAGAGAAGTCGGTTATTTAGCTTAAAAAAAAAGAGTGTGTTTCAAAAATACATTTAGCTCAGTAAAACTTTCTGTGATCACTTTGTCACTCTAAGGCCGTAAACTGGCTGTAACAGCAGTGTGTGTGTGTGTGTGTGTGTGTGTGTGTTTTAAGTGTGTGTGTGTGTGTTCTCCCTGTTTACACACCTCTGCTCCAGATTACTCACAAGGTTTTAATACAGTATTGATCAGAGGAATATTATAGGGATACTTATAAATTATTATAGTGATTTTAGAAATGACAGAATAATATAAATTAAAGTCAACTATTGCTCCAGATTTTTGAGTCAGTTTTTGACTCACTGCAGGCTGCTTACATTTGTAATGCAATAATATAAACATATTCCCTGCTGCACTCAAAAACTAATTTTACTTTCCTTTTCTTTTTTCTTTTTACATTTCCAGTTCCAGCCTTTCCGTCGGCCACCATTACCATACCAACCTGCTGTAAAAGGCCTCAGTATTAATTGTGCAAAGAACACGTTGGCAACCATTTGTTTGCCCACAGCAGCTAGTTCTTATCACTTATCAACACAAAACACAAATACTGATTTAGACCTATACAACTGGTACTCCCACTGCTAATGCACTGCTACTCGTACTACTATTACAGTACGAATAAAAGCAGCTACAAAGGCTTGATGTTTTGTTGTTCATTATTCACACAAATACACAGGAGATCTGCACTGCTGCTTGCAGTGGTTAATGTTTTCTCACTGTTCACGTGAAAGCTTGATGATATGTAACCAGAATTTACAATGACTGTACAAGTGCCTTGAAGAAATTCATTTGTCCGTCACTTACAGGTGCAACAACCTCCACAATCAACGTTTGGTATTTAGGTTGCACTTAAATAATACAAAACGAAAAGTGAAAAAACTAAACTAAATCTGCTTAAACACTTCTGCATTTGTAGTCAGCAGTTTTTGGGAGTAGGTGCTTTGAATTTCTCCTTCTCACTTTCCTCTGAAGAGATGAGGTATTCTGCTCAGCTCTATGCCCACTGAGTCACATAAAATGTGGGAATGAAAACTGACAAATGAGCTGACAAACCAACAGCCAACAGATGAGACAGGTCACTGCCCTCGCTGTACACAGCAAAATACCATAAACGGGTGTGACTGAGAGGGAAGACTGCAAATTCTCTGTAATGTAATAAACCTTTTATGATGAAGATTGTGATTTATACTGTACGTTTTCGTTAAGCTGTTCAATACTTGAAGAAACAGAGTTTTTCAGCAAAGGAGTCACAGTCAAAGCCCTGTCCTCATATTGTTGTTTTGTTGGAAAACATGTTTAACTGGCATAATTTAGCCTTGGCACAAGAAAAGTAAATTAAACACTGACTGTCTTCACAGATCTTATCTCCTCCTAACCTTGTGGTGGTGGAGGCCATAAGCCAGGACAGCCCCGGTACCAGCCAGCAGTCCTGCCAAAGCATGTCTCCAGCTGGGACCGTGGGCGCGCTGGTACGATCTCTGACCCTCGCTGCTGCTCCACAGACGAACCGCACACGATGCCACGGCGGGTGCCACTTGATGCCTGTGAAAGAAAAAGAAAAAATCAAATAGGTCTCAAGTAAACCTGTGTGTGAAGATTAAGTATCCAATTCTGTTGTATTCACAAAGTGTGAAACAAAAGACAAAATAGGGACGAACACTACGATGCAGGTTATATGTGAGCGGTGAGTTGTTTGTTTCAGTATTCTTCATTAAACGGACACCTTTGACTGGGTGGAGCTGAGACCAGACAAAACATAACTACTCTGTCAATGGCAAGCAGAGTAAATGCCCCAGAGCGGTACGTGTGACGAATGTCTTGTTACAGTGTTGTACCTTTGAGTGTTGAGGCGGCCAAGTCGAGTCAGGCTGTGGCAGCATCTGAGAAGCATTGCACTGACGTTCTGTACAAAAAAATAAATAAAATAAAAGTAATT